TGACTCACATTAATTTCCTGTGCGTGTGTGTTACCTTCTAGGTTAATTCTTTTTGATCTCACCTTTTCTCTAGTTCCTGGTCCCCTTTTCCTATTGGCCTCAGTTGCTTTTAAGGTATCTGCTTTAGTTTCTCTGCGTTAAGGGCAACAAATGCTAGCTAATTTTTTAGGTGTCTTACCTATCCTCACCCCTCCCTTGTGTGCTCTCGCTTTTATCATGTGCTCAAAGTCCAATCCCCTTGTTGTGTTTGCCCTTGATCTAATGTCCACATATGAGGGAGAACATACGATTTTTGTATACCTAACAATCTGTAAAGAGAATATATCCTAATCTAATTTAAGAATATTAAAGACTTACAATTGCAAACTTTTGCATCAAGACAAGGAAGTTGAATTTCCCTTCTGTTTGTATAAAGGTGTTATTCTTCGTATTGATTTAACCAATAGAAATTTGGTAAATGGTGGAAAATGACAATAGGTAACCACTGTTGCTATACTCTCCTTCTCTCACCCCATCATTTTGCTGTTAAATCAGCACACCCTAGGTATTTGACACCCCTGGGACATTCCTCTGTTATCCCTACCTGGTGCCCATCAACTTGCAGCACTCCATGATGCCTGAGGAGGGCGCCATGGTGCCAGTAGGTCCCCAGCTCACAACAAAACTAACCCTTGAAATTACATCTTTTACAATTAAGTGTATTTTTATCTGCACCCTTTTTATAGTAGACAAAGACAGACAACAAGAAAACAAGGCAATGTGACATTTTTCTTTTAATACGCAGGAGAGGAATATGGCAGGGAAGAGAAGAGTTGACACCCCTAGACCAGCATATTGACAGTGTGGAGGGTTAGGCCCTGAGGCTGCTAACAGATCTTCAGATGGAAGGACTGTTAGGTTTGTGCTCATTAAATTATATTTATTAAGGCAAGCAAGTAGTCTCAGATATTGTAGAATGATTTTAGACAGGAAGGATTTTCTGTCTTGCATTCATAGTTAATCATAATTCTCTGTGGTCCCTTTCCAAAATTTCTGCTCCTTCTAGTCTTTCATCATATTTTGTACCAATGGTGGCAGAGGAAAAACAACTTCTGTCTAAGAGTGGCGTTTCTGGGTAGATGAACACTGCCCTCCTAAAACTCGCTCAAATGTTCTTTCTTTCTCTCCCAATTCTTTTTCTGTAGGCTTGGCGCTGCTGGAGAAAGCTGCTGCTGTTTTCTCTGATGTGACAGATAGTAATGATAGTTCTCAGTTCTGTGTTCTGACAGTCAAAAGAAACCTTGGAGCTGGAGACAGACAGAGAGGGAAATAAATCTTATTTAGGTGCTGCCAATACTATGAATTTTATTAAAGGACATAGACTTGTTCTCCAGGAAAAGCCTTCCATTGGCAGCTGAAACGGAATCAGTGGGTAAAATGCTTTGATACCATTCCCTTCTTTGTGCGGGAGAACTTTGCTGTCAGACTCTGTAGGTTTAATTAACACATTAACTTGAATGGCTGAGAGTTGTTGTTTTCTCCCTTTCTTGGTAGAACATGGGCTGGACAATTAACTTCTTAGGGAGAAAATGTTTGAAATAGTAGGTGGGCTTTAGAAAGCAACTTTTCTCAGGGTAAGTATTCAAGACCCCACTTGCAAATCCTTGAGAGTTTCAAATGTACAGATATTTATAGATTTTCTTTTAAGAGGCTGGCCTCTAGCTATGTATCCATGGAAGCAAAATGCATTCCTCTATTAAATTACCAGTTTCAATCTATTGGGAAGCCTAGCTCTTTACTATGTAGATTCTCATAAATAGGGGATTTGATTTTGCAAAATCAGTACTTTTTCCCTTGATAACTTTCTATGTTCTAGGTACCTGTAGATGGGGCTCATCTTAAAACTTTGTAATATCATTAAAGAAACAGGAAATAGTCTCAGATATTTTGGAGTGATTATAAATAGAAAGGAGTTTCTGAATTCCCATTTTAGAAGATGCTCTGGAAAAACTACCAAAAAGTTAAATATAGATATGTGGTCAGTAGTTAGATAATATGAGTTCTTGTACCATAAATCATTAGAGAGGATGCCAGTGGGAATCTTAGTGAGTAGGGAAAGGTTTACAGAGAAGTGACCTTTGATATGGGCCAGAAAGGAGGACTGGCACTGAGGTAGGAAAGCCCTGAAGCAGCTTTCAACAGAGTGGGTAGCATCAGTGAAAGCACAGTAGGGGAGTGTGCCCATGTGAGAGTGGGAAGGCGAGAAGGTGAGAAGGCCAGTCCACCAAGACCAAAGTGTGACTTTCCCAGAGATGGAATTGAAAAGAATGTCTGAATGAGAGAAACTTGGTTTATTGGATTGGTTTGTATATCCACTGCTTGAGGGATCTCCAAAGACTCACAAATAACAAAGCAGCCTTTTGAAGATATAAACAAATATCATGGGACATACCTGAGTAGTTCACAGGCTTGAATCTGAGCCTAGGGGATAAGTTTTAAAAGATTCAGAAAAACCAAAAAGCAACAGATGCTGGCACCCAGCAATTCTTCACAGCAATGATTTCTCAGTGGGAACAGTGATGGCACTCCCATGGCGTAGTGTTAATATATGAGTCTTATAGGACCTATGTTAGTCCAGCCTTCACACACAGGATTTTTATTTTGATCCATCTTGACTCTGTTATAATACATTAATCTTGGTATAAAAATATAGATAGCAACATATATTTGCATATAGACATAGGCACACCACAATGGTGTGAACTCTGTTCTCTCTATGTTCATCAAAGAAGTATGGTTCTGGGTTTAGACAATAAGTAGAGAAAGTGAAGAGGAAGGTTAGCCACTTGCTGTTGTTATGTGTTAAAATGTGAGATATTGTGGGCATGCAGGGAACAAGAACCACAAAGTACATACACTAGCTGCATGGGATCTGAGTCAAGAAGGAGTGATGAGTTGCTCCATCCTCCCTTATCTCCATGAGGGGAACTATCTCCCTCTCTCTCCTTGGTACTCTTGAAATATATCAAACATGAAGTATTTCTAGGAAAATTTTTTTTTCTCTCAGACATGATGGGTATGTTGGTCAGCTTCCTGTGTTTATAAAAAATAACTGAGATAATAGGTTTATAAACAAAAGGGTTTATTTGAATCTATGATGAGTTGGCTGTTTTGCTTTGGGCCCATGGTGAGGCAACACATCGTGATAGGAGAGTGTGGCAGAGTAAAACTATTCACCTTATTGTCCAGAAACATAAAAGAGAAAGAAAGGGCCAGGATCCCACAATCACCTTCAGAGCATGCTGTCAGTGACCTAAGGACCTCCTTCAGTGCCCTACTGCTCAAAGGTTCCAGTACCACACTGGGACCAAGCCCTTAAAAGAGGGGATTTTGGAGTCATTCAAGATCCAAACTTCGGCAATAGGCAAAGGAAAAATTGTTTAAAAATATTTTGAAATAAAAAGTTACAAATTCTCCCTGGTTGGATGCTCAAATACTGTTGGAGCCAATTGAACTGCTTGCTTTAGCAGCCAAGTTCATCCATTTTGGGATTCAGGATGTGTTTTGATCAAATGGACACAGTGTCATAACAGGTTCTTTCAAGTGTCAGGAAACATTCACAAGAGATGAGTTGTTCCTTGGACATGCCCAGAATGTGGACAGCCTTGGTGAATCGCTCAGTTAGTCCTTAGGCCCTTCATTATGTGTTCTGGCTAGGGAGAGAGAAGTCAGGGTGATCATTGTGCTCACTGCAGAGTGACTCACCATCCATTCAGAACAGGAGTTGACAAATGCCGTGGTGGAATTTTGAGGGGCAGGTGGGTTTCAGACCAGGCGCATGGCAGACAGGAGATGTTCCAAATGATACTTTTCAAATCAGTAGCCAAGTGCCCATGGTAACCAGAGTACCTAGAACAAGATTCTCTTGGCTGCCATCAAAGGACACTTTGGGGACAGAAGAAGGTCATAGATGACCTGATTTTATCAGAAAAGTAATGACAAGAAGCAGTCAGGAAAAAGTCACAGAAAAAAAAAAAGATAGTTGGAGGAATAGAGTGTATGGAGAGTCATTCCCCTCCTCATGAGCAGTGATTCTTTGTAGTTTCCCATGGAGAACACTAAAGTAGTATAGCAAATAGATATGAAATCTGACTAACTGTGTAGCCATCTATTAAATGGCCATATAAACATGTATCATGTGGATGGTGTGTGGGATAAGTGACATAATGCATGAAACAGTTCATGGATTTTAGAAAGAGCTTGGTCAATGTGGACTGCTGTTTTGTACCTTGAGTTTCCTTTGCTTACTTTTACAGAGCCTAGCATTGGCTCCTCGAAGTCTACAGAATCAATTCTATTCTCCTTAACTTTCTTTCTAGTTGCCCTAGACGTATTCATCTATACTTTTTTTTTTTTAGATAAGTCAGGTTTATTCTTGTCTTGCCCCTGTCTATCTCACAATTTTGACCCACGTTGTTCGTTTTTGGAATAATGTCATGTTTAGGTTTCAAGTGGTTTTCTATAACATCTGTGAAGCATCCCTGGTAGACTCCTGACTCCTGACTCCTCTCCATTTCTTTATCATTGGCTATCGCATATGTTCCTCATTGTTTTTAGTCAGGGCCACATTACACTGTGCAGTGTTCCAGAGATAATTCTAGATTTTACTCTATACTTTCTACAATGCTCTGCTCATGCCAAGTCAAGTAGGACAGAAGACTTTGTCACCGGGCAAAACAGTGTATAACTTCCAGCTCACTGTACTATCGATGAGGCATGTGATTTCCAACAAATCAGCTAATCCTTAGAATCTCAGTTTCCTTATTTATAAAATGGAGATCTTAATCTCTCCCTTGAAGAATTCAGATGAGAAATAGAGATGATATAAATGGAGTGCTCACCTGTCAAGTGGCAGGTGCTCTATAAATGGCAGGTATTATTATTATTGATTTAAAGAACTGGTGTTTGTGAATTCCATTTGTCATAGGGCCATGGAGCTAATTAATTTCTTACCTCTACAGTTATACAGCTCTGCTGAATTTGGGAGAAGATGGCAGCTTATCCAGGAAGGAGTGGTACCAAACAGGTTTTACTGGTGAGTGTCTCCTTAGCTTCTAGCACATGCTAGATACTACATAATAAATGAGCATTTGAATCTCCTCTTCCCAAAGAGTAAAACATGACACTGGAGCAGCAAACACTTTTTAAGGGAATTTTAAAAGTATGTCACAAATTTCTTCATTGAGCTTAATGAACTACAGTGGTGTTGTAAATGTTACTTTTATATTTTGATAAACCTGTGAGACAGTTTTAAAGAAATTAATAGTAATTTTTATTAGTAATAGTAGAAATATTTATACACATAAATTGCTTACTCAAGTGAAATTTTCAGTATAAATGAATGGGTGTTATTTAGTCTGAAAGTAGATCTTCCTCTTATTCCTGATTTTAGGTCTTCTAGACCTTCTCCTTGTCATGTGGGTTACAACTAGCAGTCCTAGTTTCTTACTAAGCCTTCTAAAAATATTCTGCAAATTACCAAACATTTATACATATATAGTCTTGCTTTGTTCATGCTGCTATAATAAAATGCATTAGACTTGCAACCTAACAACAGATATTTATCCACCTGAGGCTGGGTCCTGGGAAGCTCAGATCAAGATGTCAGTAGATTTGGTTTCCTTTTGGTTTTATCCTCACTTGGTAGAAAGAAAGAGAGTTTGGGTCTCTTTTCCTATTTTATAAGGACATTAATTTCCTAGTGGGGACCTCACTCTTATGACTTTATCTAAATCTAATTATCTTCTGATGCTGTGCCTTCAAATATCATCTTAACATTAGATATTAGTGCTTTAACTTATGAATTTTGGAAGGACACAAACATTTGGTCCATAACATATTACATATAGATATTAACATTTGCATAAATGTTAGTTATGTACACTTGTCTATATCTTTTTGAGTATGCCAGTAGTATGCATATATCATCCTGCTTTAAATAGTTACATATCATTTTACTCTAACAATTATAGAGTACAGGTAAATCTTAACATCTATTTAATATAAACAATAAACTGTGTATGTTGGTGAGATATGTATGTGGAAAAATTGAAATATTGGAGGAAGAAGAAGAAGATGGGGGAGAGAGAACAAGAGAAAACAGGAAGCAAAGAAAATAATATTCTTTGGTTTTGTTAATCATCCCCTAATTAAATTAGAGGTGGCCTCTGTCTATAGGAGTGGGTGCCTAAACTTGAAAATAAGGGAAATAACAGAAGTTAATTTTGGCCTATGTAATTTCAAGAGACTAAATCTTAGCAAAGTAAGAACAAAGTTTGGAATCTTCTAATGTAATTTTGATATTACTTATTAATACCTTTTGAATTTACATTCTAACCTCTGCCAAAAAGTGTAATTTACTGCACTCTAAATTATCTATTCTGTCTGTGGGAAAAAAACGTGTAGATTTTTTGCTACTATAAATAGTGCTACAAAGAACTAGCTCATACAAGAGCTTACATATGCCTTACTCAGGGCAGGGATCATCTTTTAGGAGCCAATGAGCTTCCTGCAATGAGGGCAGTAAAGGTATAGTCCCTTTATTTTCATGAAGTCACTTACTCTTGAAATCCTACTGCCTCTCACCAGCCTGGAAGGCACATAATGGCTTCCCACCTCCACTCCAATTCTCTCACTTCTATATAAACTAAGAGGAATGCATTTTTATCTTTCTCATTTTCAAACACTGCCCTCAAATTCCTGTGGGAGGTGAAAGTCAGATTAGTGAAATCTGTTAAAGATGGAATGAAACTGCCTGAAAAATTTAAAGACAAGCCATTTGCAAACAAACCAACTCAAAATACTCATGAGACTTCTGTATGGCATCGTTTCTTCTCCTATAATAATGATACCTTTTTGTGTGTGTGTGGCATTACTGGTGATTTAACTTAGGACTTTGCACTTGCTAGGCAAGCACTCTACCACTTGAGCAATGCCTCCAGCCCAATAGTATATTCCGTACTGAAGAAGGATTTTGTTATATGGAAACTTACTCAATCTGTTCTGGCTGTTGCTCTTACTAAGAGTAACCTGAGACTTGATTTCAAATCCCAAATGGACCTACGTCCAGAAATTCAAATGGTCCCCTTCCTCACTCTCCCTTCTTGCTTGTATCAGCATTTTTTCCTCTTTTGCTCATTTTATACCTTATTCACAAACACTTTCATGTCTATGTATTTTGTCTAAAACTTATAGAGGCAAATTTTAAAAGAGGAGAGCTCATGTCTTTTCTTTCCTTTTTTAGTGTTATATGTGCATAGAAAGGCCTCAAAATAAATAAATGACAGAAATAAATGAATATTCCCCTTTATCCTGGAAATGATATAGATGTTCTGCCAATAAGAAACTTATGGGGAACCAATGGTTTCTCAAGTCAGGCCTCCAAGTGATTACAAATACCTGTACCTGTACGTGGTACCCAGGACTAGATAGTAGACAGTAGTAATTCAGAAGACTGGCAGACTTTTCTTCCTGGCAATAGGAAAAAAAAAAGAAAAAGAAAAACATCACCTAAAAAAGATGAACAAAGAAAAGGAATTAAGATGAGAGTATTTAGAGTGTTTGAGTGTTTTGCATATAAATAGTGCATGATACACAATGCTTTCTTTTTTTGTGTGATATTGGGCTTTGAACTCAGGGTCTACGCCTTGAACCACTTCACCATTTTTTTGTACATAGGGTCTCCTGAATTGTTTGCCCAGGCTGGCTTCGAACTGCAATCCTCCTGTTCTCTGCCTCCTGAGTAGCTAGGATTACAGGCATGATTACATGCGCTTGGCCACAATGTTTTCTAGCTCACTGGAGGTCTTTGACATTATTACTTTATTGTTGTGGTTACTATTATTACTTTGGTGGTACTGGGGTTTGAACTCAGGGCCTTAACTTGCTAAGCAGAGACTCACCTTGAGTCATGCTCCCAGAGCTTTTTGCTTTTAGTTATTTTTCAGGTAGGATCTCCTACTTTTGCTTGGCGTGAGACCTCTATCCTTCTACCTCAGCCTCCTGGATAGATGTGTGCCACCATGCTTGACCTGTTGTTTGAGATAGAGTCTCATTAACTTTTTGCCCAGACTGTCCTTGAACCGTGTTCCTTCTATTTCTGTTTCTCAAGTAGCTGGGATTATAGGCATGAGTATTGCCCCTGGCTCCACATGGCATTACTGTAAGGTGAGTGGCCTCATTCCTGCTTCACCCATTCTAGTTACTGTCCTTCCTTATCTATTCCTTGAAGAGGGATCTTCTATCTGAAAGTTTGATTAGCAAAGTCCTGGTAGCCAAACGTCATAAAATTAGCATCTTTATAAAAGCAGAACACATTATTGTGCATGAATTCTAATTAATCTGTCTGTTAAGTAGAATAAATAAAACTTCATCCCTCTTCCTTTAGGGGAAGAGAGACACGTCTTTCCCAATCAAGCAGTGAGAGAAGTGTTATTCAGACTTAAGCTACTTAATCCTCATAATAATCTTCAGAAAGAAGCTGTTCATTACCATCATTAACAGATGGGAAATCCATGGCACATAGGGGTTAATTAATTTGGCCAAGGTCATACAGCTGGAAAGTGTCACATTTGGGGTTTAAATACAGGCTATTTCCAAAGTCTGTGCTCTACTAAATCAATGGACATTATTGCTTTTGCCCTTTGGCTTTCTTCTCCAGGCCAGAGCTGTGTGCCCTGAAAATCTAGCCTGTTCAGACAGACGAGTGGAGAAAACTCAAAGGTCTTTTGGCCATAGTGCCTGCCTATGTATCTCTCCAAGTGGGCTTGGTAAGTGGCCCCAATGAATTCTTTAAGCTTGGTAGCTTTTCCAGAGAAGGCATGAGATGCTGTAACTGTACAGTGCCATGGCTATTGATGAAAGTCTCCTGATCTCTGCTCACATGGTCTGTATTTTCTGACTCAGAGCTACTTTCTGAGGCTAGCAGAAAAGTTGTCAATCAAAGCAATGTTTATTATTAGAGTCACCGCTGGAAGCCAGTTGCTTCAAAGTACATAGAAACTATGAGGCTATTTAAGATTTTTCAACAAGCTTAATTAGAAGAAACTCCTTTTCATCATTGCTGCTTGGAGCCTGGCTGTGGAGGTGTGGTTGGGACTCAAAGGGATTTCTCTAGCACTAAATTGAACCATTCAGTGACTATGGGTAATAGCAAAGCACTTTCCATTTTAAAAAAAAATGAAGATGAAATCATAGCTTTTCCACATCACCTAGCACACTTCAGAATTGTCTTTATTTTATGTGGCAGTACTCATGCCACTCCAGAAGCAATCAGTGGCCATTGTAAAATAATTATGGGATGTAGCATCTTACTCTTGGCTTATGATTATGATTGCTATTAATACTACCATACTACTAAAAATACAAACTTTCTTCTAAGGAGTTCAGATTGTTTTCAAAGTTGACATAGGGCATCAAATAAAATGCATCTTGCACAATATTATCCTTAATGTCCTTTTTATTTAACCAACAGCATTCCTGGTCTTGTTCTTTCCTATGTGAGAAATGCATGATATTGGGAGACAGAACAGCCTGGAGATTAAGGGCCTTAGGAGCACTGAAGTCTGAGTTACTAAATAAGGGATTATGAAATTAAATCACTTGTACTTGCTCAAGAATGGTGTCAAGTGCCTGCTGGCATTATTAATAATGACTGACTTTTTATCTCTATTAATCTCTTTTTTTCCCTGTGTTGGTGTGTGGGTTTCATGCCCAGCATGGCTTTCCCCATTTTGTGGCATGGATAGATGCTAGGCTTCTAATCTAACAACTCAGAAGTGGCATCACCAAGCTTGGCATGCTCTATTTTTTAAGATTGAATCTGGGCTACCTGGCTTGGATCAGAGACATAGAACATGATACATTACTTGTGGACATCAGAACATATCTACCCTGGGAACTGAAATGGTGGGTGGATTCAAGATCTAATCAAACTTCATGATTCATGATTGGAAGGTATGTGACTCCTAAATAGGAACATAGAGTTGTAAAAACAAACAAACAAAAAACACTGTTGTTAAAGAAGGGAGGATGGGA